GAGACTGAGTACTCACGTCTGGTGGCCGCGAGGCTGAGTGCAGTGTGCCGATCTTCAGCGTTACTGCGAACTTCTGCTGCCCAGGTTCAGAAAAGAAAAAAGCCTCTTTGAAGGGGATTAAGGGGATGTGTCCCAATTAACTAGCAAACATCTGTGAATGCCAGCTTTGTGTCAAGGGGAGAGGGATTTGTATAGCTAAAAGACATTTATTGCTTAGGAAAAACGTGACTGAATAAATGCATCCCCATGAAATAAAAAATGCTCGTTTCTGTTGTCAGGGAGTTGATTAGAGGGGAAGCCCCCACTTTTCTCCACCTTCCCCCCTCATGATACAAGGCAGAAGGGCAGGTGCTTATTGGACATCACCTGGCATAGGCACCTCTATCTGCTTGGCATCTGGTTATTCAGATGTTTGCATTCCACCCCTCCACGTGCCAGAGCTGGTCAGCTTGGCATATTTACACAAGGGGGTAGGAAGAGGTAGATGTGAAGTGGGGTTTTAAGACACATGTGGTCGGGTGCCGTGGCTCACGCCTGTAACCCCAGCACTTTGGGAGGCCGAGGCGGGTGGATCACGAGGTCAGGAGTTCAAGATCAGCCCGGCCAACATGGTGAAACCCTGTCTCTACTAAAAATACAAAAATTAGCCCCGCGTGGTGGAGGGCACTTGTAATCCCAGCTCCTCGGGAGGCTGAGGCAGGAGAATCGCTGGAACCAGGGAGGCGGAGGTTGCACTGAACCGAGATCTCATTACTGCACTTCAGCCTGGGCGACAAGAGCGAAACTCCGCCTCAAAAAGAAACAATACAAAAACACTTCGGTGTGCCAGGTGCATTGTAGGCTGCTTGGAGGTTTGAGGACCTGACTCGTCCCACTGGTGCCTTTTTACTGCTTTCAGTGCAGAATCCAGATGGCTACTACTTAGTTCCGATCTAGGCCCAGGGGAACTCCACTGCTCAAGAGACTGATGGCTGTGCTTCACCAGAAGCCTTGTTAATATGCTTAGCTGACTCAACAGGTTCCAGGTGAGCCAAACTATCTTGCATCTTACCCCTAGGGAGAAGGCAAGTAGCCTCCAGCTTCACTTTTCT